CAGGCCCGGACGATGGGGCCGGGAACACGTACAGCCTGCGGCCCGGCCTGCAGCGCCGGTGAGCGGGCTGGGGGCCGGGGGCCCGGGGCCCTGGGGGCTGTGAGTCTGAGGGGGTGGCTCTGGGGACGTGGAGGCTGTGGCGAAACTATTGGGGAGGGGATCCCTGGGCATGGGGGGCTGGCATGGGGCTATGGGTGTTGGGAATGGGGCAACCCCCGGGGTTTGGGGACTGGCGGAGGCACTGGGCTGCCAGACCAACTTTGGCCGGTGGAGGACGCCGCTGGAGGAGCAACCTCCGGTGGGGCCGGTTTTACACCTGTGTTTGGGTAGGGCTTTTGGTAGGGCTGGTGAAGTATATCTATCTTGGCTGGGCTTTTCTTCTCCCATGGTTTTTCATTTGTCATTTTCCTTTAATGTGTGAAAGCTAAATTTTCCCAGGTGGGGTTATGTATGTTTCTACACATTGTGTGAACTTTCTGGGCTTTCTGTTGGTTTTTTTTTCCCTGATAGATTTAAATCATCCACAGTGAAAGAATGCATCCATACAATACTGAAGGAGAAGCTGGCCAATGTACAGTACATCCCAGAAGAAATGCCTCAGCTTACAAAGTCTTTATCAGAGACAATAAAAGACAGATTGAAAGGTAAGGAGGTTTGCTGGGGAAGTAATTTCCTTTTTACTGTGTCCTCTCCCTTTGACAAAATCCCTTTCTTCCTTTATTCTTGAAATCTATTTCTGCCCTGTTGACTGACTCGAGTCTACCGTTACAAAACATTCTGGCCTATATACATCCGTTCCTTGCCTGCAGAACTAGAAACCTAATTAAAGCAGACAAGATTTGTTTTCATATATACTGGCTGGTGTGGGATGTCAGCCCTGGAGGGGCAGCAGGGGAAAAGAAACTGCATTAGAGAGAGAAGGAAGAAGTGATGCTTTCTTGCTTCAATAAACAGAACCGTTCCTGCTTTTTTTCTGCTACATGTTATATCAGAGTTGGGTCAGTATGGAATTGCAGGGAGATCAGAACAAGGCCCAGGGTGACCAGCAAAGCAGGGGAGAGTTAGGAGCACAGTCAGACAAGGAGGGGTGTACTACAGCCTTACAGCACTGGAGAAAGGTTGTGGAGGTGCTGCACCGGATGCCCTCCAACATTTTTGAGTTAAAGGACTAAACTGCAGGGTCCAGCAGGTGTTCCCTGTGTTCAGTGGTGGACTTTTTTTTTTTTTTTTTGCCTTCTCCCTGGGGATGGGCTCATGCTTTATCCGCTGGGCTGGTCTGACACGGTGACATAGACATACCGTCACCCTCAGCAGGCACCATCAATTTATGCTTCTCCCAGAGTTACGCATCTGCTTTAAAACCAGCAGCAGCTGTAGTCCCAGCACGTGTTGATGCCAAGCTCATATGCGCAGGGCTTAGCTTCAGTAATCTGTAAACACAGTTGGAGCAGCCTGAAGCAAGACTGGCCCAGTGTGGCCGTTGTATCAGCTGGCATCTCTGATAAGCATTGACATGGTGCATGTTACCAGACCCAGTATGTTGTGTTCAGTCCTTCAGTGGAAGCAGTGCACTGGAGTCTTCCTGGGATGCTCCTTTGTGGAAGGCAGGCATTAGGGTCTATATTTTATTTTAAACATGCTTGCTCTGATTTGGCTTCTGGAACATTGCCATGGCCTGAGTGGATCTGGCCTGTGCCCCAAAGGTATTCCTCTGCTGTTGTAAAACAACTGTGTATCTTTGCAGACATGTAACATAGACCCATGTATGCTTTTATGTGGCCTTTTATTCCAGCTCAGAAGCAAAAGAAACACCTATGTGGCAGAGAAACCTCTGTGATACCTTTGCATCAGAACAGTTTTAAAATAAGCCAGATTTTTCAAATGGGATTTTGTCCACCAGCAGCCTTATTTACACTTTTCCATGTGTTCAGGTCTTGAAAGTTGTTGAAGTAGAATGCTTATGTATAGTGTGGCTGTTCAGGGATGTCTCCTGCCTTACCTGCATATTTTGACAGATGCCAAGTACCCCGCTCACCCTTTAACACTAATAAGACCATGGAAACCTAGGAAAATGAAGCTGTGAGTCAGTGTGTCTGTTTTGCCATTTCCGTGGACTTGTACAGGACATTGCTTTCTAATCAGAAATCTTTAGCTTTTTGTGTCCTGTTTTGGGTTTATATTTTAAACAAGTTATTGTTCTTGCTATTACTTTTTTCTTTCTCTCCAGAGGAGGGATTTGACAGGTACAAAATGGTGGTACAAGTTGTCATTGGAGAGCAGAGAGGAGAAGGAGTGAAGTAAGTTTTGCATTTTCTAATTGTATTTCTATAATTTTTGTTGGGTTTGGGTGGTTTTTTTTTTCTTTGGAAGCTCCTTCCAACTTTCCTTGGTACCAGGAAATCATAAAGTATAAAGCGCTTTCTTTTCTCTTTAAGTGGCAAGTGAGGGCTTGGATTATGGCTGATTTAATTACCTGGTGCTAATTGGCTGTATAGTGGTTCTTAGCAAACTGAAATGCTGAAAAGCATTTGTGAGGAGTGTTGCAGAAAGGCATTTTTCCTTGTATTCATGATGAACTAGAGCACACACCCAGGCCATTCTCAAGGCCCTTCTGGAGCCCAAGCCATGGTAATTTACTTCTGTCTAAAGTCAGGTTCCCATAAGTACTTCATTTGCATTTAATCCCCCCAGGTATGCATTTTCAGAAGTTTAAATTTCTATAATCTCCATGCAATACTGTCATGGGAATCAAGCCTTAGACGTGGGTGCTGAGCACTTGCAATCTAGCTCCAGATGCCTGCAGCCAGACAAAAGAATTCCTCTTGGCTATGGTAGTGGGCTGTAGCTTTCCATTAAAAGTGAGTAGGGAGAAGACAAAAGTGATCAGCCCACAAGGTTTATGTGCTTTATCTGTTGGGCTTATCTTTATTATTGTGCCTGGTACTCCAGCAGAAGATGAGTGCAGCAGAGCTGTAATCAGATCTGCTGCCTTCCTGTTCTGGAGGTCAGGCAGGAATATCTGTACCTGCTGCTCAGGCTTTTGTCAGGAATGTCTGTCTGCAGGCAGACTGCTCCAGAAGCACCGTACCAAGGTGAACAGATCAATGAGGTTGTCTGATTTGAAACGGGAAGCCGAGCAACACACACTGTCAGGGCAATTGGGGAAATGCTCTGATTTGCAGTAGACAGGAGGCAAGACTGAAGCATGATCACTAATCCTCAATGCAAAATAGTAACTAGGATTTAAAAAAAAAAAAAAAAAAAAAAAGCAGAATGACCCTGAGGGCTACGGTAATGGGAAAAAAAAAAAAAAAAGATTAAATTCAACAGTCTTAGAACACTTAAGTCATACGTGTGGGGACTAGGAACAACACTCTGTGCTGGGAAGGGAAGGGATCATCTGGGAATGGAATCTGGAAACAAGCAGGGAAGCCATCATCTGAGACTGACTCTGGCAGGCAGGGAGCTGGGCATTTACAGCAGAGAAAGGAGAGTGCCAGTGACAGACAAGGCAGTAGCGAGGTCTCCTCTGTAATACCGCTTTACAGTCTGGTTGCTTGTCTTCAGGGTAAGGCTTGGACTGAAGCAGGTGTAGAATGCCAGCAGGATGGTCAGGGAACAGAGAGTATAGATATGAATCATGGAATCATAGAATCATTTTTGTTGGAAAAAACATGTAAGATCATCCAGTCTAACCATTAACCTAGCACTGCCAAGTCCAGCACTAAACCATGTGCCTACGACCCACATCTGCACATCCTTTAGATACCTCCAGGGATGGTGACTCAGCCATTTCCCTCAGCAGGCTGTTCCAATGCTTGACGACCCTTTCAGTGAAGACATTTTTCCTGATATCCAATCTAAACCACCCCTGGCGCAACTTGAGGACATTTCCTCTTGTCCTATCACTTGTTACTTGAGAGAAGAGACTGACACCCACCTCACTACAATTTCCCTTTAGGTAGTTGTAGAGAGTGATAAGATCTCCCCTGCACCTTCTTTCCTCCAGGCTAAACACCCCAAGTTCCCTCAGCTGCTCTGCATAGGACTTGTCTTCTAGATCCTTCACCAGCTTTGTTGCTCTTCTCTGGACACACTCCAGCACCTCAGTGTCTTTCTTATAATGAGGGGCCCAAAACTTAACACAGTATTCAAGGTGTGGCCTCACCAGTGCTGATACACTATTTGTGATAAGAGTCAGGATGCTACTGGCCTTGGCCACCTGACAGCCAGCTGTCAACCAATACTCCCAGGTTCTTTTCTGCCGGGCAGCTTTCCAGCCACTCTGCCCCAAGCCTACTGTAGCATTGCCTGGGGTTGTTGTGACCCAAGTGCAGGATCTGGCACTCAGCCTTGTTGAACCTCATACAGTTGGCCTCGGTCCGTCAATCCAGCCTGTCCAGATCCCTCTGTAGTGCCTTCCTGCCTTGAAGCAGAACAACGCTCCTGCCATGAAAGGACTAGAAGAGCTTAGCTCGTGTAGTAACACGATGTCTGCCAAGGAATATGATAGGTCTCTATAAATAAAATGGGGGTACATACCACAAGGGTGCATGAGGTGAAGGACAAGGGCAAATAAGCTAATTTAGCCACCAATATGCACAGGCCAGAAGTCATATGTTCTTAAGCACCATAGCAATGAGGTTTCAAGCTCTGCTGTACAGTGGAGGTAGCAAGATTGGTAGCTGATGAGGAGCTTGATCAACATACAGAGCAGGTTACAGCATGTGGAATTCTGCAGTGGGGATCTAGGCTCAGGATTCGGGAGAATGCTTCCCTGTTTCCTTCATCTTTAAAGGAAGATTAGTTTGCTTTTTGAGGGAGGTATCAATGATCATTTAGGTCCTTATATGTGAACTCTGTGGGTAATGGCTGTGATCTGTCTCCTTTGTCTAGCATGGCTGCACGATGTTTCTGGGATGCTGACACTGACAACTATGCTCATGATGTGTACATGAATGTAAGTATCGGCTGGTTTACCCTGAGAAAGTGTAAAGCTACTTGCTTTTGTATGAGAGGCAGAGTGACCTTAAATGTGGAGTGGAAAAAAAAACAGCCACTAAGACTCTACTGAAACAGTATGATTTATGTCCTCATTCCCAAAACATACTTAGATGTAATATCCAACAAAGTAGAACTTATTTCCTGAGTAGGTTATACAGTACTGTACAAAAGTTGTCATAGTCACTATTTCACAGGTGGGGAGAGGTAACACAAGAGATAAAGCCTTTTCTTCTATGCTTTCCTGAACTGCTGCCATGGGGTATGGCTGAGCAAAAGTCACTGACACCTAGACACCTGCAGGTGTGTGGATGGAGTAAACTGAGGCAATTTCTGGCATTCAGACACACTGCCCTGGGTTATATCACCAGTGAGGTGAATAAGAAACTAACTGAAAGACAGAAAATTGCAATATAAGGTTATGCTCTGGTCTAAATGTTCCCCTAGGTTAGCCTTTTCAGTTGGATGGCAAAGAGCTTGCCTTTACTAACATGGCGCCTTTCTCTGTTTTCCCCAGGACAGCCTGTTTTGTGTGGTAGCTGCGTTTGGCTGTTTCTACTATTGAGGATGGTAAACATTGCACAGAAGGTCAGAGGTGGGGGAGAATGCTTTAGGGTATTTCTTGTTAAGATGCACAAAAGCATCATGTTCTTCTTTTTGTACCTAACAAAATAACAGCTCTACAAAGCATGTCCTACACCTGTTCTACACACTACAACATTCCTTATTCCTTGTGGATTTTGATACAGCTTTAAGCACAGTATTATTACATCCTTTACTTAAATTGTCCGTTGTTTTTATATAGTGTGTTGGTTTTGTCCTAAAAGTGTATTGCCTTTGTTTCTAAGGCAAACTCAACTTTTGTCTTGAAAGGGTTTTGTTGCTTTTATTTTTTGTTAATTTTCTGAAATGAATGAAATATTTATAAGAAATGTAACATAATAAATGTATTTAATATTTTCTTTCCTGTGCATTGACCCTTGCCACTTCTGTTTGTCCTTTTCCTTCAGTCTACAAGATGCGCGAGCCTGGATGGCTTGCCTGTGCTTCTCAGATGAGCATTTTTCTGAGGATTCTTTGTAAATTAACCGATAAAGCCAGCCCTCTTATTCTCATTCTCCAGATTTGTTCCTGTGACACCCATAACAATTGGGCTGTGGATCCCAGCTGTGTCACGCAAGATGGTATTAATGGATAGGAAGATGAGGTATTTAGGACATTAGGTCAGGCCACCAGCTTGCGCACCCCACGACTGCCAAAACTCCTCCCTGCTGTAAATTCTCATTGGTTTGATGCAGTTTGGCACCTGTGCACTGTAATCACTGCTCATTGCCCTCGTCGGCATATACTGCAGTGCTTTCTCAAACTCTGCCTCTCAGTAATTGTTTTGGGATATGAGGGTGGATGTTTGGAGCCCAGATTTGTTAGGGCTCCAGACCCAGAAAGGAGCCGTAGAAAAGGCTGCTGTAGATCTGAAAAGGAGTGCTAAAGCTCCTTATATTCCCAGAAGTTAGAGGACCAAGTTCTTGAGTGAGTGGGTGCCACTGGAGTGCATCTCAGATGCCAGTCAGGAGATGGGATGAGTTGCCCTGTGGTGATGCCTGTTTTCTCAGTGCTGACCAAGGACCAATCATAGGTGATCAATTTTAATGGCATGAATGGCTTCTCGAGTGCTGGAGCTGGGTGAGGTGAATCCTGAATCCCACTCTCACCAACTGTTAGAGCAGAACTCCTTTGCAAGAGCCTCGTGGACAGCAGGGAAGTAACAAATTACAATGCATCTTCTAGAATCACTCTTTTGGCTACAACCTTGGAGGCAGCACGCTCGTGATTATGATGTTTGTTTGAAAGCGAATTCCTCTCATTTTCCTCTGATGGGAAATAGCAAGTGCCTTCCCTGGTTGCTTTGCTGGTACCTGTGGCTGTCACTCGTGAAGGGAACTGTAGAGAGGATGTAATGGTGCTGCCTGGTTTGTGTGCAAGCCTGGGAGTGCAAGTCTGGGAGAACAGTGAAACCCTTCCACATAAAGACATTTGCCAGGAGATGATACGTGCCCTCAGACTCGTTTTGACACTTCTACCAAGTCATGGCGATATATCACGATTTTCCACCTTGTGCTTGCTCCGTTGTGGAGGTTTTTAACAGCTGCTCCACAAAGGCGTTGTACAAAGGGTCCGAGTCTGTGAGGGTTCAGCTCCAGCCGCCCTTGGTGGTGGCCTGGGCTGGGGTGCTGTGCTTCCCCTGCGGAAAGACGAGGCAGCTGTCGGAGCGATTCAGGCCGGTATTCCTGCCTGGAATTCCAGCGCGGACGGGAGGAGACCGGCCGTGAGGAGGGTGAAAGGCTGCCAGGTCTGCTCTAGGGGTGCTTGGTCCCTCCTATAACCCCCGGAATTTTCGCTGGCCAGAGGAAGGGCGGCGGGGCACCGCTTGGGCCGCAGCAGCAGACCTCCGCTAGGCCACTCCGCCGCCGCTGGGCCCCGGTCCGAGCGCGGAGCCCCGGGGCACCCGTGACCGTACGGACCCGGGGTGCGGGCGGACCCGTTATGAGCCG